CAGAGATGCGGAGGGTGAGAGGCTTCACCAGAGACAGAGTGGGGGGCAGAACAGGCAGATCAACAAAGTACATTGCTGAGGGGAGCAGTGGGCGGGTCAGGAGAGGTCTGCCACGCCATGTGGTCACCTCTGGGGCAGGCGGGGATCGAACTCATGTGGAAGTGGCTTAAGCTTCTTAGTGCTGTGCTTTAACCCGCTGCGCCACCTGGGAGGGCTGAGTTTCTTTTTTTTAATTTATAAAGTACCATTGTTTTACGTATTTGTCAATATTTTGACCATATATGATTTTCATATTAAATGGAAAAAAATCCAGTTTAAATATGTGGTACAGATGGGTTAAGAATAAGTAAGAGAAAATAAAGTTACCAGATACCTATCAGTAGTGGGAAAGAAGCTGTTCTAGCTCTATTAATACCTGAGGTGTGCTCCCACCCCCAACACACCCGCAGTCCTTACCATGGCTCATTGGACTTCCCCATTTTCCCATCACCACCCCATCCCCACCTCCACCCCATGGATCTCATGGCTTTTTAATGCCTCATAGCCGTCTGTGGTCAGTTTTCAAGGATTGGTTTTAAAAAGTTCGTCTTTGACTCTGGTTTCCCTAGATTTCACATATAAGTGACCCAGGATTTATCTTTCTTCTTCTGGCTTGTTTCTCCCTATAATTCCTCCTGGCTAGGGCAGAGTTTCTTGAACAATTCACTAAAAGGACACGCAGCGAGAGAAAATGTTGACAAAGTCTACTAAAATGTTGATAAAATCCATTACACCAAGAAAAAGTTCTGTATGCTTAGACACGAGAGGCAAAGGAAATATAACAGAAAGTGTGTCTCTATCTGAAAAGAGAATAGCAACAGAAAAATTACTGAAGAGCAAGTCTGAACTTTACAGGATGAACTTTCTTTATATATAAATATATGCACACACATACATATGGAGAATATCTTCAAACAACGAAGACAATGAAATAAAGTCACAATGAGATACCATTGTACACACACTAAAAAATTTAAGATACATCATGTAAATAATAGTTGTGGGGAATGGAGTCCTCTGGCCACACTGCCAGTGGTAATTGGTACAGCACAATCATTGTGAAGAGCAGTTTGTAATAAATGCAAGGAGCACCCCACCTGGACCCTGCAAACCTGTAGATGTCAGCTAGCCTGTAGGTGTCTGCAGAAGACAGGTACAAAAAGTCCATTTGGGGCCCTCCCTGGTGGCGCAGCGGGGTAAAGCACAGCACTAAGAAGCTAAAGCCACTTCCACATGAGTTCGATTCCCGCCTGCCCCGGAGGTGACCACATGGTGCGGCAGACCTCTCTTGACCTTCCCGCTGCTCCCCTCAGCAGTGTACTTCGTAGATCTGCCTGTTCTGCTCCCCACTCTGTCTCTGGTGGATCCTCTCACCACCCCTGTGCCTCTGGCCTGTACCCCAGATCTGTATGTATAAATAAATAAATCTTAAAAAGGAAAAAAGACAAAGGCATAAGCAAATTAGACAAAATGGTAGCTTCTGTTATGCCTTTTAAATCTGAGTGGTGAGCACCCACTCACAAATTAAAATTTAGAAAAGTGTAACAGACTTAGTTTTAGAGAAGGGAAACTAGATGGCATAAGAGAAAAGTGGGTGCTTGGGGACTCCTTGGTGGCATGGGAGTTAAAGATGGCGCTATCAAGCCACTGCAGCAGGAGTTCGATCCCAGACCAGGGAGCTGACCCACATGGTGCAGCAGACCTCTCCTGTCTCACTGACTATTCCCTCAGCAGTGTATTCAGTCAACCTATCTGTTCTGCTCCCCACTCTGTCTCTGGTGAATCCTCTTACCCCCTGCACCTCTGGCCTCACCCCAGGTCTTGTATGCATAAATAAATAAATCTTTAAGAAAAAAAAAGAAAAGAAAAGTTGGTGCTTGTGTGGGGTTATCAAGGTTTGTATGACCTGGAGGCTTAGGAACATAATAATAATGGAAACTTGCAAAGCAGCACAGATTAGAATGAGTCCTAAGGATGTGCTTATTGCCTCTGTGACCTTTGGCAAGTTATTTAACTTTCCTAAGTCTCAGTTTCATCATCTGCAAGATGAAGTTAATAACACTTCTCATTTGAATTATGGCGAGGAGTAAGTGTGAAAAAAAATGGTGTTGAACACCTAGCAGTGTCTGGCAGTCATTATTGATGGTGTTTTCCAGAAAAGCAGACAGCCTAAGGAAGTCTGCTGGCTGTCAGGCTTCCAGCCAGCCCTTGCCACAGTTGTACACCCGGCTCAGGACAAGAAACTGGTACAAACCGGGGAGTCTAATGTAAACCAGTTTATTAAGATGTGACTCTAGGTTAAAGCAGAAAGCAGAAGCCTAGTTACAGGTCCTGGGAAGAAACCACACACAAGGCCCCTCTCTGCCTTTACCTGGGGATGAAGGATTTGAAGGAACCCAGAGACCTCTGCTCTAGAAGCCTACCCTAGTTGACTTTTTTTTTAAAAGATTTATTTTATTTATTCATGCATTCATACAAGAGCTGGGATGCAGGTCAGAGGTGCTGGGGGAGGTGAGAGAATTCACCAGAGACAGAGTGTGGAGCAGAACAGATGGACTGACTGAATACACTGCTGAGGAAACAGTCAGTGAGATAGGAGAGATCTGCTGTGCCGTGTGGGTCAGCTCCCTGGCTGGGGATTAAACTTGTGCTGCAAAGGCTGCCAATAGCTTCATAGTGCTGAGATGTAACCCCTTGTGCCACCAGGGAGGCCCTACCCTAGTTAACTTTTTACAAAGGTAATAAGCTTTCTTTTCTTTCTGGTTTTTGATTTTAAAAATATTTATTTATTTATGCATATAGAACTGGGGTACAGGCCAGAGGCAGGGGCAGTGATAGGATTCACCAGAAACAGAGCAGATTCACCAGAGAACAAGCAGATTGATGAAGTACTCTGCTGAGGGGAGCAGCGGGCAGGTCAGGAGAGGTCTGCCGCGCCATGTGGGTCACCTCTGGAGGCGGGGATCAAACTTGCCCTGAAGCAGCTGCAGCCAGTTTGCAGTGCGGTGCTCCAACCCATTGCACCACCACCGAGGGCCCTGGTTTTTTAATTTTTATTAAAGTCCTGTTGTGTAAGTTTCTGTTGCACCATGCAGCAACTTGACAGCTGTGTACGCTGTATTATAATTGCCACCCAAAGAACAGTAAGTCTCCATCCACCCCCCGACCCCGACCCCTTTATCCTCTCCACTCTGGTCAACACTATTTTGTTCTTTTAACCTCAGTGTTGGTTTGGTTTTTTTTTTTTAAAGATTTATTTATTTGTACATACAGAACTGGGGTACAGGCCAGAGACTCTGGGGCGGCCAGAGGCTTCACCAGAGACAGAGCAGGGAGCAGAACAGGCAGATGGACGAAGTACACTGCTGAGGGGAGCAGTGGGCGGGTCAGGAGAGGTCTGCCACGCCATGTGGTCACCTCCGGGGCAGGCGGGAATCGAACTCATGCGGAAGCGGCTTTAGATTCTCAGTGCTGTGCTTTAACCCGCTGCGCCACCAGGGAGGGCCCCAGTGTTGGTTTTTAATGGCCTTCATTTCCTAGAGCACATTGAGCTTTGCAGTCCATCTGAGCAGGCGTGTAGAGCCTGCTGTCTCATCTCCTGTGACCCCCCAGAGAGCCTCCCCACGGTGCTGTCTTCTGAGGGCCATTCTCCAGAGGGGGAATCATTAAGGACTGGAGTTGATTCTCTTTTCCCTGGTCTCTTGTTATTTTCTCTGTCTGTGCTGGCAGGGGAACGCAGGCTGGAGAACGAAAAGGACAACTTTGAAAAGGGAGCTGAAGACAAGTTCATGCTGGATGCTCCGGATCTGGGGCAGCTGATGAAGATCAATATTGGCCACAACAACAAGGGGAGGTCTGCAGGCTGGTTCCTGTCCAAGGTGGGTTCAGCTTCGTGTCTGGGTGTCCTATGGTGCAGGAAGGGGACATTCTGGCTCCTCGAGGGAACACTGCAGCCTTCACCTCCCCCTGCAGGTCTGCTTACCTCTGTCTGCTTTACCTATGCCCCCAGGACCGCCCTGCTGCCCCCCAGAGCCTCCAGCTTCCACCTTGCATGGAAGGCCAGCTGTCTCAGCCGAACCTGGCAGGGCCTGAGCCTCAGCCTCTCCCAGGAGGCCTCCCTGACTCTGGCCTGCAGAACCTCTCCCTGCCCTGCATGGTGACTGCCTGCCTCTTATACCAATAGACAGTGGCCCATTGATCCTTTTTTTTTAAAAAAAAAAGATTTATTTATTTATGCATACAGAACTAGGGTACAGGCCAGAGGTGCAGGGGAGGCGAGAGGATTCACCAGAGACAGAGTGTTGAAGTACACTGCTGAGGGGAGCAGCGGGAGAGCAGGAGAGGTCTGCTGTGCCTTGTGGATCACCTCCAGGGTGGGGATGGAACTTGCCCTGAAATGGCCATGGCTTGGCTTAGCTTCACAATGCAGCGCTCCAACCCGCTGTTCCACCAGGGAGGGCCTGTCCTATTGATTCTAATCATACATTTTCATATGACTCGTGGGCTGTTGCTTTGTACCCCCATATTTTTGAATCTCAGGTCCCTCATAATTTCCCTTATGCAGAACAAAGCTAAAGATCAAGACAAAAGCAAAAAAGCTTCCAAGGGGCTAAAATCTGTCTTGTTCAAAGTTCATGAAGCCATCCATCTGGCTCGCCAGGCCTTGATTTTGGAGGAGAATCCTCTCGACTGCTCAGAGTCCAGGGCATACTTTCCTTTCCTTCTAGCAAACTTGCTACCTGCAATTTAAAACCTATAGCAAAGAGGCATCATATTAAGTAGGGTTACTGAGGACTATCATGGGGAGTCAGCAAAGATATAAAAAGCCAGAAGAATATTAAAAATTCATAGAAATCTGAGGTCACTTGGCAATTGGTCTGCCAGCCCTTTGCATATATTTCTCTTCACTGTGAGATCATCAGTATATTTCAGTTTGTTACAGAATGAAAGGAAATGATTAATGTGCAACATATTTTTGCAAAACATTTCAGAAAAGGTCTTATGATTAAAACAGAAAACCTTAGGCTTATTCTCATTTGACGATAGAGCATGAGCCTGGTAGTTGCAGTTTTATTATTGTTTAAGTTCATTTACTTCCTGATATCAGTTAGGGATATATTAGGCTGGAGGTATAAGAAAATGGAAGTGCGGGCCCTCCCTGTGGCGCAGCGGGGTAAAGCACAGCACTAAGAAGCTAAAGCCACTTCAGCACAAGTTCGATCCCTGCCCTGAAGGTGACCCACACGGTGCGGCAGACCTCTCCTGACTCGCCCGCTGCTCCCCTCAGCAGTGTTCTTCTTCAGTCGGCCTGTTCTGCTCCCCACTCTGTCTCTGGTGAATCCTCTCACTGCCCCTGCACCTCTGGCCTGTACCCCAGTTCTGTATGCATAAATAAATAAATCTTTGAAAAAAAAAAAAGAAAATGGAAGTGCACTCTTAAACAATTAGGGCCTTTTTGTCTTACCTCATACAAAATCCAGATGCCACAGCTTCTTGCTGTGCTGATATCCTGGGGAGATGGTGCTCATCCTCCAGCTGTTGCCCCGTGATCACATGATGGCTACTGAACCCCTAGGCATCTTCTCTGTGTTCCAGGCAGGAACCAAAGGGAAGACCACAGGGGAAGGAGACTTTTCCTGAGAAATCTTACCTTATTCTGAGATAAACAAAACCCATCTTGAGACTCCTGCCTACATTTCTTTGGCCAGAAACAAGTCATGTGCTACTCTAACTGGTGATGTCACGTGGCTAGCTTCCCGGGCTTCACAGTCAAAGCAGGCTAGGTAGAAGTCATTGGGAAAGGGTCCTGAGCACCCTGGCCTTTCTGTAACTGGCCTCCAATCCCTTGAGAGCACTTCCCAGATCTTAGCACAGGCCTGGGCACTGACCAGTGAAGCGAGGGATGGCCGAAGTTTCTTGGGAAAGGTAGAGGCTCGCCTGGCCTCAGGAGAAACCAGCTTGGTTCTTGCTGAGCAGGGTCCTAGGAGGCTACATGCTCTTTGGCTTGGAACAGAAATGGGCCAGAGCCCACAGCCCACATAGTCAATGCGCACCCAGGTGTGTCTTCAGGACGAGGGGAAGCAGACTAGTGCCTATTATGACTTTGGCGGGGACAGGACCCTGAGCTCTATCTTGAAGCCCAGCTCTGGGAAGGAAGACAGTCTCTGTCTCGAAAGACCCAAGGTTTAGCAGAAGGAGCTGCAACGGGCACCCAGGTCTGCATGTGGCCTTGAAAGGCTGTTTGACAGCTGCTCCTTGTGAGGTCAGCTTCCATCTGGGCTATAGTTTAAACTTTCTTGGTGCATTTCCTTATTTAATGCAATATAATTTTATTACATTTTCATTGCCGCCTCTTTTATACTTAGATGTTCACTCCTATTTCCTGAAGACAAAATCTTGTATTTGACTGGGCATAGCAGTTTCCTGCATCTGGTATTAGGTCCTTTCTAGGACTCTGCTTTTCTTTTGGTTCCTCAGAATGATTCTCCCTCCTCCCCTCGCTCCCTCCTTTCTCTCCTTGTCTATCACGAGATGCTCCTGCCCGCATAATGTTATGAGTGGAAGACCAGTTCTAGTCATTGACAATTTGCTTAACTTTGAGTTTCCCATTGGGTCTTCCTGGTACAACCTGGGGAGGCCCCTCTTCTCCTGGGTGAGTTTTAGAAGACGCCGTTATCACAGTCTTGCCCACCCAACCCATCTGAGTCTCCCAAGGGAGGCTTCATCGTGCCTCTTCTGCTAATCTCTCTGTAAGTGACTGGAAGAACCTGGACCCCATGTGTCTGGCTTGGGTTTGCAGCTCCCCTTGTGTGGACTCTGCTCACCCAGAATGCCAGATCCCAACCTTCAGCAGGTTGGAGAAAGCAGATGTTGCCATCTACAAGCTCGGGCTTCCTATGCCTGTGCCCCTCACAGCACACCCAAGTGTATTGCTTCTCTCAGCACACTCCCCCAAGAGAATCGCCTTTGATTTTTTAAAAAAGAGCTGTAGCTGCGGGAAACAGAGGTTTAATAACTTAGAAAGAAGCAATTCCCAGTGTTCCCTGTGTGACTTTCAGTGTTTTTGCAAGGCTCTCCTGGCAATAGGTGTGTCCGTGTGAAGAGCTTTCTAGGGCCACTAAGAAGGCGAGGATATGCCCTAAAGGGATACTCAGTGACAGAGGGACAGGACTGGCCACCAGCTGTGTCCTCCACAGGCTTAGCATTCCTTCCCTCTCGTGTCCTACCCAGATTATCATTGAAGATATTGGAAACAAAAGAAAATACGACTTTCCTCTTAATCGCTGGCTGGCCCTGGATGAAGATGATGGCAAAATCCAAAGGGATATTTTAGTGGGTGGTGCTGAGGCCACAGGTAAGATGGCGGAGGAGGAGGTGGCATTGGCTAGTATTTCACTTCTGCCTGAGGGCCAATGCTTCCACCTGTGGGCCTGGAGGTCACTTGGGAGTCAGATCTCAGCTCCTGCTTGGGAAAGTGTTTATTCTTCTGGGCTGGAGCCTGGGATGCTGATGACATCCGAGGAGACGGGAGAGTCCCCTGAGCTAACACTAACTGCCCAGGGTGAAGGATCCCAAAGGGCCCATCTCCGAAGCCCTCCCCCTCCCACACTCTCCCCTCCGCCCACCACATCAGGTGAAGGAGTTCGTTAGTCCCTTCCTCCATTAAAGTTATGTTTGGAAGTTATTAGCCAAAGAGCAGGCTAAATGAATAAGATAACCATGAATATAAATGAACAGAGTTGACTATTATTATTAAATGAGACATGATAGAATTCATCCGGCAGCTATTAATAATATGTACATGGTAATTAACATTAATAAAAAATACTATTCTTAGCCAACCCAAGTTCCTCCTTCTCTTTGTGAGTTTCCTATAATCCTGCAATCTGGCAGCTTCTTGTAGTAATACCTCGTTTATTACTAAAGTTGGATACATTGACACACGGAGTCTAAAAAAGACAGCGTGTTGCTGAGAGGGTGATGCATGTCGTTCACTGGAGGGAACACAGGGGACCGAGTAGAGTGGGCAGGCATTAGAGCGGGCAGGAAGATGTAATGCAGCTCACACGGAACCTCTCTCTCCTCCTTCCTGCCACACCAGCGATTTCATATATTGTCACCATCTTCACTGGGGATCTCCGTGGGGCTGGGACCAAATCCAAAATCTACATGGTCATGTACGGGGCCAGAGGGAATAAGAACAGCGGGAAAATCTTCCTCGAGGGTGGTGTGTTTGACCGTGGCCGCACGGACATCTTCCACGTCGAGCTGGCTGTCCTCCTCAGCCCCCTGAGTCGAGTCTCCATCGGGCATGGCAATGTCGGTGTCAACAGAGGCTGGTACTGCGAGAAGGTAAGGGCTGCTCACGGCCCCGCCCCTGGTCCACTCCTCCCTTCTTTAACATGCAGACACAATGGACAGTCTGAATCCTACTTCTTGAGATTCTGTTAGAGAGTTTTGTGGACATTTATGTGCCCATTCAATGGGCATTTTGTATAAAAATGTGCTCTTTTAGCTTGTGCCGGTGGCCAGAAATGGGGGCCGTTCTGTGCAAATGTTCTGCCCCTATCTCGTTTCTCCTTTCCCTCAGTGCTTATAAGTGAAAGCTTCTTACACCTGACAATAAACAGAGACCCAGTAAGAGAAAGGCTAGTCAAAAACCTTGACTGTGGGCAGTGAATGAGTTTAAAGTTAAGTAGAAGCTAAGGTTGAGAATCTAGCGATCTAAGTAGTGAGAATTTCTTTGCTGATAGAAGGTTTTGTAGGGTTCTGGAGCTATTTCTTCAAACTTTCACAATGTGAGTGGCTAATTTGACTTCCATGTGGTAAACCTGGGGGTTTAGAATGTGGGTCAAGATGCAGAGGAGTAGGAGAGAAGACCCAATGAGGGCCAGCCCAGAAAAGGCAGTTCGGGTTCATATTAAATTCCAGTTATTAATTCCCTTTCATGTGTTTGACCTTTTGCCTGCAAGATAAATAAAGCTTATTAATGTAATATTCCAGTTGATTTGATTCAGACTGAGATTTTATAAAGTGCATAAAACTCCATGGTATCCAAGAGAATATTGTGCATAGAGGGAAAGGCTTGAGATCTGGGCTAGCAAATTGGATGATTTCATGTCATTTTGATGGAAGACTTCTTGGAGGAGACACTTTTGGATTGAGGGTTTAGTGAGGTACAGGGAAGAGCCGCACCATTTCCTGGCATTCGTGGTGCAGACAGGGCTGGCAGGAGGCCGAGGAGGCTGTAAACATTTTGAGGGGGGCTCACTGCAGGGGACTGTGGTCTTCTCCCCAGGTGGTTATTCTGTGTCCCTTCACTGGCATCCAGCAGACCTTCCCTTGCAGCAACTGGCTGGATGAGAAGAAGGCGGATGGACTGATCGAGAGGCAGCTCTACGAGATGGTGTCTCTCAGGCAGAAGAGGCTGAAAAGTAGGTGGGGGGAGGAGTGCGCCAAAGCCTGGTGGTTTTGCAGACAGAGCCAGCAAAGGCCAGAATGTCAGACCACTGGGTATGAGCTTCGAGGGGACTCGCTTCTGGTTCTCACTTCTCTGGAAAGGAGGGGAAACTCTCAACCCTACTCTGGAGCTCAGTTCTCCAAGGCACAGGCCACATAGCCGCACACCTGACAGAAAGGTTGAGATCCCGAGCCCCCAGTTGAATAAACTGCCATGCTGGCCTAGATGTTAAGCCGAGAAGTATAAATTTGCACTTGGGGTATGCCGGAGGTAGGGTGGGTGCAGTCAATGCTCCCTCCTCTCCACCAGTTGAAAACACACTAATAGACCTTCCCCATTAAAGAGGAGATTAAGATGTTGTCTTTCAAGTAGCAAGGATTCCTTGACTCCCTACATTTGGTGCTTGTTAGAATGGATTTCTGAGTGGGGCCCACTGGTATATAACCTGCCCTTAGATCCTGATCCACTTTTTATTTGCTTCTCATCCCCACCAGTAACACAAAATCTCTTTACTTCTTGAAGCTCACAGTGCAACTTGATGTGTCTTTGTAGAATTCCCTTGGTCCCTGTGGGTCTGGACGACTGACTTGAAGAAAGCTGGTACCAACTCTCCCATCTTCATCCAGATTTATGGACAGAAGGGGCGGACGGATGAGATTCTCTTGAATCCCAACAACAAGTGGTTCAAACCGGGCATAATTGAGAAGTTTAGGGTAGGAGACAGTGTGATGGGGCTGGAGGGAGAAGGAGACAGTGCAAAAGGCATTCATTATGAGCTCTAGTTTTCCAAACCAGGTTTGGAAAACACAAAGCCGCTGTGGAGAACTGCGAGGCGCCAGGAGGCCAGAGTTCCAGCTAGAAAGGGTGGAATTTAGATCTGGGTCCACAGTCCAGAACTAAGCCTGGGCTGAGAAGCAAGTCTGGAATGGTCTTGGGCATCCAGGAACACAGCGACTGGGGGAATAGTCACTGTAGAACAGAGAACCCCAGCAGAGTTAGTCCATTGGCCCAATCTGGGCTGAATTAGAGAGCAAAGAGAAAATTGAAGGAAAAAAGTATATTTTAGAACAAGAAATGAGGTTCTGAATTTCCAGTATGTGCATAGCTAGAGCGAGGTTTATTTTGCCAACAGAAAGCCGCGGTGACCTTTAGGGAAGCATCACTGGTGATTTGCTGCTCTCTTCTCAGAGCGCCGGTCGGTGCTTCCATTATACCACTCAGTTCATTGCGCTTTAGATATTTGTCTTTCCGGCTAGACTGGCAGCCCCTGGGGCAGGGCATGACTGCTGTATTGATCTTTTCTATCTGTCTCAGTGCCTCACAGAATCCTGGGGGCTGTGGGCCTGTGCTAATTCACAGGGCTGCCGTGTGGATATTGTTACAGGAAGTGTATTGCTTGGAAGATTTTCTTTAGCTGGGATCCTCCTGTGGGTCAGTTATTTTTGTTCAGTTTCACCAGCCCAGATTTAACCGTGGCTCTCGGCGGCTGTCGCCTTCATATGCCACTGGCAACAGGAGTATGCGAGGGCGGCGTTCATGAGGGTGGCTGGCAGCAAACCCGTCCTCTGTGCTTCAGCACCCCAAAGCTGGGGCCTGCGGACAGGGGCCTGCTATGAAGACAAACACAGTCCCCTTGGCTATGTTCACTCAAACCTTGACATTTCTCCCCATAGATTGAGCTCCCAGATCTCGGCAGGTTTTATAAGATCCGGGCATGGCATGATAAAAGGAACCTTGGTTCAGGGTGGCATTTAGAAAGGGTAAGTTGCACCCTCTTGGCTCAGAGAGGCAAGTGGGAGAGGCGTCAGAGCACTCTTTTTAATGAGCTTGCCAGCCTAGGCTGCTTTAGGGCCATAGGGAGAGGAGGAGGGGCAGGTGACCTTGAGCCGTGGACTTGGACATGGGGTGCAGGGACTTCCTGATGGGGATGGGACTTCCCAGGTTGACTAAGAACATGCTCAGTGGTTTCGGAGACTGGCTCTGTCTCAGTCACCTGGTTACTAGGCCAGCGTGGGTCCCTAGGGAACTGGGAGTTGAATATTCACCTGGCAGTCTATCTCCCACAAGGTCATCTCTAGGGGTTGGCCTGGGCCTTGCTGAGAAGAGCCAGCAGAGTGGCATTCCCAGGGTATAATGACTCTCTCTGGGACACCCCCTTGCTCATCCCAGGACTTCATTCCAGATGACCCTAATGAATACTCTGACCAAGGACAAGTACAATTTCAACTGTAATCGCTGGCTGGATGCCAACGAAGATGACAATGAGATTGTGCGGGAGATGACTGCAGAAGGGCCAGCCGTGCGGAGAATCATGGGCAGTAAGTACTGCTCAGCTCATGATCCTGGGGGGCCCCCCAAGCTGACAGTCTTGTCCACTGTGTTTTGTCAGGGCTCCCTCTGAGTGCCAGATGGATAGAGAAGTTCCCAGCATCCAGATCACTTGAAAGAGTCGTCTCTAGGGAATGATGCTAGAAATCCATGGGGATGGGTATAGGGGAGGGAGGGGAGACTGATGGATCATCATGTTGACTCTTAGGGGATAAGAAAGCCCTTCACTGGACAGTAGTTCTCCAGAGCCCCCCAAATGAAAGGAAACAAATTCAGATTATGCCTGAGCTATCCCCTCAAAAGGTAGGCTGGACCTGGGTTCTTGTAGTCACATTTGATTGCCCCCTGATGAACCCTCTAGTTCTATTTGAGGCTGAAGAGGGTCTAAACTCTTAGTCTGGAATCCAGCACCCCATTCAAAGAAGTAAATATCATTTTGCCTTTAGCGTATAGTAGCAGAGGCTCGGCAAATACTCAGCAGATGTCCTGTCTTTTCCTTGGCAGATATTAGTGAGCTATCACCCCCTTCTCTGCTATTCAAGCTGAAATGAGCCTCAGAGCCCAACATAGCATTCCCAGCAAACCACAACTGATCAGAATTGGCACTTAAGATAATTAACCTATTTGTAACTTGAATATTTATTTTTTAAATACAGCAATACTGCAACATTACAAAAATTAAGAATATGTAGGAAATCATGTCACCCATGATTCTAGTAGCCCTTGTAAATATTTGGATAATGTGATTTGACAGGCATTTGCATGTCCAGTAGAAGTTCTAAGTATATTTGTTGACATGATTTGAAACAGCCTTAAATATGCAAAAACATAGAAACCCCAAACATCAAGTATCTATTTAAAAAGGGATTACCCAGTTTGTTAATCTAATTAGGTGATGCTGGCAATTAGCAAAACGTATCTTCTACTTTATGTTTTTTCATTTTTATTTAAAATATGTAACTATTGGATATTTATGTTCAAAAGCCCTTAAAATTGTTTGATACAAATAAGGAAAGTGAGGACATTCTCACCCTGATAGCACACTTAGAGTGAGAACTAGAACAAGGCCTTCTGCCTTCTCACACTCAGGAGTGTTTTCTTTGGAAACAAGACAACCCCCACCCTGTAAGTCTGACAGGCAGCACAGCTCCCCGCTCTAGCTGGGGTGTACAGAACATGCAGCCAGCACGGCGGGGGACCCCCCTGCTCTTATCTGTCCCTGTGTGTCAGAATTGAGCTTGCAGATGTGAGCAGTTAGGGAGGGCGTGGCCTTTGTAAACCCTTCTCACCAACACTGGTGACTTGTATTTTAAATGAATGCTTCACGAATTTGCGTGTCATCCTTGGTGGAGACAGGGTAATCTCGGTGCTGTTCCAGTTTGAGTGTATGTGCTGCCTAAGCGAACACCCAATTCTCATTTTAGCTCCTCACTTCCAACTTCTCAAGCTACTGATGCTTTTGTTCTTGAGCCTTCGGGGCTGCGGGGAGTTGCTTTTGGAAGTTTGAACTGTTCTCTCTGGTCTGCTAAATCAGGGGTCCTCAAAGCTGAGAGCGGACCATCAGCCAGAGGACTTGTTAAAACAGATGTCTGGGCCCCAGCTGCTGAGTGTCAGTTCAGTAGGTCAGGGCTGGGGCCCAGGAGCCCCTTGGTCTACACAGCTCGAGGCGATGGCCACGCTGCCATGGCGGGGCCTCTTGTATCTTTTTCCATCTCAGTTGTCATCCCTGTGACTTCCCATCACCAGTTCACCCGTGTGCCATCACCATAGTCCTGTGCACTTCTCCCCCGCCCCCATTTTTGATCCCATTCCCCACTCCACCCCCATAAAATGTCTCTGGTATATAGTTTTTCATTATTATTATTTCCTCCCCTGGTTCTTTATGCCCCTGCTATGAGTGAAACCATTGGTATTTTTCTTTTTCTTTCTGGCTTATTTCACTAAGCATGATCCTTCCATGAGCTATATATTTTTTTTAAATATTTATTTATTTATGCTTACAGAATTGGGGTACAGGCCAGAGGTGTGTTGGGTGAGAAGATTCACCAGAGACAGAGTGGGGAGCAGAACAGGCAGATCTACTGAACTGCACTGCTGAGGAGAGCAGCGGGCCGGTCAGGAGAGGTCTGCAGCACCTTGTGGGTCACCTCCATGGCGGGGGTTCGAACTCATGCTGCAGTGGCTTTAGGGAGCTTCACAGTGCGGTGCGTTAGCCCATTGTGCCACCATGAGCAGTACTTTTTTTTTTTTTTT